TGCTGCCGCCGCTGCGCCTGCCCCTGCTGCTGCTGCTGCTGCTGCCGCTGCTGCGCCCCGCGCCGCCCGCACGTGAGTGCCCGCCCGGGGCGCGCGGTGCGTGTGCGAGGGGTGCAGGGAGCTCGTGCGATGGGGCACCGGGAGCGTGCAAGGGGTGCAGGGAGCTCGTGCAAGGGGGAACAGTGAGCGTGCAAGGGGTGCAAGGAGCTTGTGTGATGGGGCACAGGGATGTGCGTGCAAGGGGTGCAGGGAGCTCATGCAATGGGGCACGGCGAGTGTGCAAGGGGTACAAGGAGCTCGTGCGATGGGGCACAGGGAGCGTGCAAGGGGTGGCAGGGAGCTCGTGCAATGGGGCACAGTGATCGTGGAAGGGGTACAAGGAGCTCGTGCAATGGGGCACTGGGAGCGTGCAAGGGGTACAAGGAGCTTGTGTGATGGGGCACAGGGATGTGCGTGCAAGGGGCACAGGGAGCTCATGCAATGGGGCACAGGGAGCGTGCAAGGGGTACAAGGAGCTCGTGCGATGGTACGCGGGGAGCGTGTGCAAGGGGGCCCGCGGTGTGCGGGCGGTGGGGAGCGGGGTGTGCGTGCAAAGGCTGCAAGGACCTTGGCGATGGGGTGCGGGCTGTGCATGCGGGGGGTACAGGGAGCTTGCGCAATGGGGCGCTGGGTGCGCATGCAAGGGCTGCGAGCAGCTCGTGCAGTGGGGTGCGGGGTGCGTGTGCAAGGAGTACAAGGAGCTCGTGTGATGGGGAACAGGGTTCGTGTGCAAGGGCTGCAAGGAGCCCGTGTAATGGGATGCAGCTTGTGCGTGCAAGGGGTACAAGGAGCTCATGCAATGGGGCACAGGGAGCGTGCAAGTGGTGCGTGAAGCATGTGCAATGGGGCACAGGGTGCATGTGCAAGGGGTACAAGGAGCTCGTGCAATGGGGTGTGGGTCGTGCGTGCAAGGGCTGCGAGGAGCTTGTGCAATGGGACGCAGGTTGTGTGTGCAAGGACTATGAGGCGCTCATGCAATGGGGCTTGGGGTGAGTGTGGAAGGGGCATGAGGAGCTCATGCAATGGGGCACAGGGTGTGAGGGGTCCATGTACATGTGCAATGGGTATAGGGTGTGCGTACTGTGGCACTTGGGGGTACAGTGGGGTACAGGATGCTCATGCAGTGGCAAGTGTGGGGGTGCATGCAATGGGTATGACGTACGTGTGCAATGGGGCTTGAGGGGGTGCGTGCACTGGGGTATGGGATGGATGTGGATGGGGGCACAGTGGAGCACAGTGTGTGTGCTGTGGGACGCAGGAGGAGCCTGCAGTGGGGCAGGGTGAGCAGGTGGGGGCCACGGAGCAGGCAGCGGGCCACGGGGATACGTGTGCAGTGGGGCACAGAGATGCGTGTGCCGGGGGGGGCACGCGCGGCAGCAGTCCCGTGGGGAAGCGGCGGGACGAACGGCGGGTCCCGTGGAAGAGGCAGGCACGGGGGAGCCAGGGCAGCCCGCGCGGGGCCGTGGGCAGGGACGGAGGCGCGGGGGGGACCGCGCGGGGCCCGGGGGTGCCGTGGGGCGGGGGCCGCGTGGGCCGGGGGGCTGCGG